TAGTTATGCGTTTGGATAAAAGTGCTGAAGTTGTTATGTCAAACGTGAAAAGGGATAAATGGAACAAAGAATGTTATATGGGTAATTTGGAGATTGTATAAAAATATTAAGCACAAAAAGATAAAAATATGGTCAACTTAAAACAGCTTATAAGCTAAAAATAAAAAAACACTCCTACCCCAGCTTTTAACTTTTGGCTTAAAATAAGTTTTTTTTAACTTAAAATAAGCTGTTTTGAGTATTGTCAAACAGCTAAATAAATCAAAAACCAGCTTTTAAGTCACTTTGACCAACTTTTAAGCTGAGCCAAACAAGCTGTTAATTGTGTGGCTACCTCTTTTATTTTAATGGGCCTCGAAACTTGTAAAAAAATAATGAGGAATTTAATGAGTAGACAAGCAAAATCTGGAAAAAAATGCCTTGTACACTTTGTGTTCTTATGCTTTTTTCACAAAATTAAAATTACTGCTTAGGCGGCCTTAGAGAATAATATAATCTCAATAATGCAAATTACAAAAGGCTGGTTCTCGTACATACAAAGTAACAAAAACCTTTCCATTGTTATTTTTTTTAATATAAAAGATACCAACTTCCAAAATTATTGAACTCAGATGAATCTATAAAATATCGCTAAGTCCACACTTAAACATAAGCCAAATCAAATAGACACACGAAAAAAAAATTACCATAAATTTATGTTTTCAATACATGACTATGAGCCAGACTTGAAATCAAAATTAACTATTAGGTTGGCACAATTTGAAAATCTTAGAACCCGTTTGGCCCCAAATAAAAGGAAAATGCACAAGTATCCTCTTAATCTATACTTTAAATTTTAAAGACACACTTATGCTATATTAATATTCTATTACCCCTGAACTTATTTTATTAATAATTTTCTATACCTTTTCGACCTACGTGGAAAAGGGGTAGAAAATTATTAATAAAATAAGTTCAAAAGGTAATAAGACTTTAATATAATATAAGTGTGTCTCTCAAATTTCGAACATAGATCAAGGAATGTTTGTGCATTATCCCAAAAACTTAGCTAGTGGTGTTTGACTACATAACTTTGAACAAATATATTTGATTATTTGTCAAGAATTTCAAATAATTTGTTTACTCCTGATATATCTATAAAACAACACGAGTTAAAAGAAAATTTGTAAGGAAGAGATTGTTCTTATAATAATAGAGGGAGACTATATAAAGGAATAATTTGTTACTATCTTCTTGGAAAAGTTCGAATTTTATTTTAAGTGGCAAAATGAGAAAAAAGAACAATTTGTTCTTAATGGGGTTACAATTATATCCGATTTAATAATAAGTTTGAATATTGATTAATGTATTACTCTTGCGTATGCCGTTATTTTGTTATTGTTGATTGCTATTAATTATGTTATGAGATTATTATTTAACGGAGCATATTTCCTATAAAGATAATACAAAATTATGGATATTTTAAATAATTTTTAGAAGATATTGAAATAGTCAAATTTTCTCGGGAAAACTTGGGGCCAAACGTCAGCTTAAATTCATCTTGTAATTAATGTGCAACAATTGGTAATGTCAAAGGGTGTTTGAATTGACTTAAAAGTAGGTTGATTTTTACTTCTGAAAATATTTAGCAAATATAAAAAATAAGTTAAAGTAAATCAAAAATGACTTCAAATAAGATAAAAGTTTGACAAGGTTAAAAATAACTTAAATAAGTCAAAAATCAAAAATATATTTTTCATATTTTTTAGTTTTTTTGATGTAAAAGTCATTTCAATTTTAATCTTTTTTTTTTTTGTACTTAAAAGGAACTTTTTTTTTTTAAAAAAAAAAAGAAGCTAAAATGAGCTCGTAGTCTTATTTCTGAACCGTCTAGTAAATGGGACTTTGTCATCCGGGTTGCCTCCCTCCTTCACCAAACCCGTTTACAGATTTTGTAAACTTTGCTGTTCTGTCCAAAATTTGCAAATTCTCTTCGAACAAAGGGCCAATCAATGTTGGACCAATTTTGTAAGTCCACCCAATATCCCAAACAAATTGGGCCGCCTTTTGTTAGTTCAAATCAAGGTACATGAAGTTGAGTTATTTATATTATTCTTTTCGTATCAAATCACTTTATATAATATAATTTAATTTTTTAAAATTAAATAGTACATAGCATATGTAAAATTATTGATAGTGCCATTACATAGTCCGGATGAGCTGACTAACCTTTTCTAGTAACTTTGGTTTAGCTAATATGGCTTATGGTAACGAGGAGTCTGTTCTCCCACATCGAACAGATGAAGACAACGTTCCAGGAAGGATACCTATAAAAATCGATAGCAGATTGTGGTGAAAGTTATCTTTGCGCTTGGGGCAATGACGCAGCTAGTGAGGTTCTAACCGAGGCGCGTCTATTGCTGGTTGAAAACTATTTCCAAACCCCCTCATTGGCCTGGGTTTTGCCTTGGCCATTGAGAATTTTTGAAAGGGCTTCCCTTCTGGGTTAAGCCCTCCAATTCTAGTCTAATTTTTTACCTTCTTTCAAAGCCAAGCCAAAAACCACTTTTTTCTTTTACTTTTTGTCAAAATAGTGGAGTTCAATTGACTAAAAATTATCAAGTTTTATCCCTTGGAATCAGGAGTAGGTACAATCCAATGAGTTACTAGCAGAACATGTTTAATACCCAATGGAATTAACACTGATATCTGACATACACAACCACTATTTATTTAGTTCGACATTTCTCATATTGAAATGAGGAGGCATATTGATACATCAAACCAAATTTGTACTTGCCAAAAATGAAGACCACATCTAGTAATACACAAATATGGGAGGACCTTACGTATTTGTGAAACAGAGTCGAATGTAAAGTCTCGTTTATCTGTCGGAGACTCTCATAATCGGGAGACTCCAATATGATGATCAATTGATATTAACCCCTTTGATTCAAGAGGTAGTTGAAGTACAAAAATGTTGGTGTTGGTGTTGTGACTAAAAAAAGCTAGCTTGCCAACTACTTGATTAATCTCTCTATAACAATCTGTTAATAGAGTGGTATTCAATTGAGAATGAATATAAAGTGACTTCATAATGAAAACTGAGATGACAGATATTTATTTTTTGCACTAAGTTAGTGTTGTTGGGGGTGACAATTAGGAGGTGTAGCTGACTGAATTGCAACCCAAGAAGGAAACTAGATTAGATAGGAAAACTCCTATCAGATTCTCTGCTTGACAAAAAAAACACACAGGTGGGGGTCATGAATAGTGATAATAGGCCTACATTAATAAGAGTTGACAGGTACTTCTCTGCATTATCCAGGGTTATTATTACTCCATTTGGCAGTGTAAACGTCCACTCTCAAAAATGGATTCTAATCTTTCTCCACTTGTTTCCTTCTCTCTCACAACCAACACTTTTTTTTAAAAATAATTCTGATAATCATTATTAAAGTTCGATTATATTTGAATTCGTATTGTGTAGGACATCGTTCATAAAAAGTGCTTTCATTAAAAATCTGTATGTCTAGGACTCAAATTGAAACCTTTAATTAAAGATGGAACAGTCTCAACTAACACTTTTAATTTCATGTAATAGTTCTTTTTCGTAAAATATATAACATGACCTAGAAGAAAAAGTAGCTCGTCTAACTTTTTCATCTATGTGGTAGAAGCAGGCTAGCATAGAATTAGAGCGAGGCGATACAATTGGAGTGGTCCTAAGTTTTGATAGTTCTTTTGACTAATTCTTTTTTGGGAAATATATAAGTACTTTCGATTTATGCCCAAATTTATCTTTGTAGATAATTTTCAATGTCTTTCGACCTACATGTCACGTAAGTCAAAAATGAATAAAAGATTATTAATAAAATAAGTTTTAGAGTAATAAGACCTTTAATATAGTATTATTTTTTTGACAATTTGTTAAAACTGTTTGCTTTTTGTTCACTATTGATTATATATTTATGATGTTGAGTTGTTTAATTTAATTGAAAGTACAGTAAAAAAAATTGAAAATCATAGTGAAGTATAACAAACAAACAAAAAAAATAGTGACAAAAAAACACAAAATCACTGAAACAAAAGCACATGGACATCTTTGAATTATGATGATTCCAACTTTAGAAATTCCACAAAATGATAAGTAATTCCTTACCTTTTTATGGTAATAGCATATGAATTCATGTATATTGATGCTACATTTTGTTAAAAAAGGAAACTAATTTGGTATTGAGGAGGCTAAATTTGTCACTAATATTAATTAATTCATGATACAATACTAGACATTCAAATTTGGCATAAATAACTTTATAAAATGTGCAGATATCCCTACTCAAAATAATTAAAGTGTTTATTCATTATCCTTACTTTTTATTTTCATTAATCTTAATGGTTGGACATAATATATTTTTATATTAAAAACCAATATAGCAAAGAGCCATTTTTGGCCTCTTTTACATGTTGTCAAAATGCCAAAACTATCATAAAATATATCTAAAGGATCGTTCAACATCATTTACCATTGGAAATAGTCTTTCTTAAAATATATATCAACCAGATATTGAAAACTTAACTACATTATGAGCTACAAAATGAAATCTTCTATGAAATATATACAAATAAGATATGATCTTTTATATTGAATGATAATTCACCATATAGCTAATTAGGATCCTAGAAGTAGTTTTTTTTTAAAAAATTTTTTTTGTATAAACTAGGTAAGGGACTAGGTAGTTGTCTTGAAATTGGTTGATAAACTAGTTCACTCTTGAAACAAAAGCTCAGTTCATATGTCTTGTTAACCCAAGTTGGTAGGTAACTTTATGAATACATAGTACAAAATCACCGCCAAAGTGTCTATTGTAATTACCACTCCGACATGACAACACAAACAACTTTCTCTTATCAAGATTGCTTCCTACTTAATGTTACTACAACAAAGTAGTACTAATACTTCAACATAAAAAAAGAGTACATTCCCCTCACTATTTTTTTCTTTTTTCAAGAATCCAATTATGTGGTCATCAAGCAGTGATAACAGGGGACTCTCTGCTTCTTCTTCTTCATCTTCATCCTCATCTCATTCACCATTTTCTCCAAGACTCAAAACAATGGAAGAAGTGTGGAAAGATATTAATCTTTCTTCACTTCAAGATCACACTACGAATTACTCTAGAGATCATCATCATCTTCATGATCATAATCATCAAGCTGCTAATTTTGGTGGAATGATTTTACAAGATTTTTTGGCAAGGCCTTTTGCTAATGAATCTTCACCAGCAGCAGCAGCAGCAGCAGCCTCCCCTGTTTCAGCTACAACTATGCTGAATTTGAACTCTGTTCCTGAGCTTCATTTCTTTGATAACCCATTGAGGCAAAACTCAATCTTGCACCAACCAAATGCAAGTGGAAGAAAAAGGGTTGTCCCTGAAACAGAAGACAATTCTACAGGGGATAGAAGAAATCAGAGGATGATCAAGAACAGAGAGTCTGCTGCTAGATCAAGAGCTAGAAAGCAGGTAAGTGACACTCAACTTTGTCTTAATCCTGTCAATTTTGTGCTTATACATCAACTATGTTCCATATTGTTACTCTTTTGCTGCTTCTATTCTTGATTTGAACAATATGCCGAGTTACTCTGTTTGCAGGCTTATATGAACGAGTTGGAATCAGAAGTGGCACATTTAGTTGAAGAAAATGCAAGGCTCAAGAAGCAGCAGCAACAGGTTCTCTTATCTTTCTTTATTTCTGTCACTTTTAAAATTCAGTTTATAAAAAAAATGGATATAACTGATTCATAATAAATTGGTGTTTTCTTAATTTGTACAGTTACGAGTAGATGCAGCTAATCAAGTTCCCAAAAAGAACACTCTTTATCGGACGTCAACTGCTCCATTTTGAGATCTTATTATAATTTGGTTTCCTAGTGCTACATTAGTATTAAGAACAATTTCCCATTTGGCTGTATTTTGTTTGTAATATGCACCAACTGTTGTTTTGATGGTGGCCTTGTGGGGCGATGAATATTCGTATGACAAAATAAGAAGGGAAAAAATAGGTTGTGAATTAAGGAAAGTGTAGGCCATTATTAGTACTCTATCAAATAGAAAGACGGTTTAGTCTTTTTTATGGCAATGAAAACGATCTGCAACTCATATTTCTGTATCTATTCATTTGTTCCGTCCACCCCCTTTCTATCTAAAATTTGGTTGGCGGTGACTAGATACCGTTTAGATTTACTTATTTTAGATAATTTTTAAGCTAAAATAGAGTAGCTTTTCTAGTGTTCTTGTTTGAATAAATACTTGTTTAAAAGTTGAATTAATAAAAATAGTAATCCAAAGCTCTAAGCCAATCCAAATCGGTATTATTTTCTTTTTATAAAAAAAAAATTAATTTGAGTAATTGGTTATCAATTTATAATCTCATAAGTTCAAGTAAAAAATATGTTTAAATTATAAATTAATTTATGTACGGACATAAAAATAAAATAATAAAAATCTGGTGTGCTTAATTCTTGTATGGTTAAAATCTCTACAACTCTAATCAATAATTAAATGATTTGTCATAAATGGTAAATATATAGTAACATAATATGATATCACCTCTTTTTGCAAAATACAATTTTCTAGCAAAGAAGTTATAATTGAACCCTTCGTCAACACACTATTAAAAAAGTGATTTCGTTAAATAGAAAATTTCAAGGTAAAAAAGGTTTTTGTCAAGATGAATGATAATTTAAACCCTGCGTTATGGGAATTAAGAATAATTTGAACAAGTGAATTTTGAAGATTAGATGAATAAGAAAAAAAGTAAAGTGAGTGGTTGGGAGAAGGTGAGGCCTCGTGTAATGTAGTACCGTCTTTTATTGAAATTTGTTAATAGGTTGGGCTGGAATAAGGAGTACGTGTAAGTATAGCATCATACAGTCAAAAAGTTTGGAATCATATGTTATTTGGGGTAGAAATTGCTTCTCTTATTGCCTATCACTTTTATATATATATATATATATATATATATATTTTCTCTTGTGCCATCACTGTCACTAATTTAGCCCAATGTTTTGCTAGGAATATGACTTCTTTCTTCCTCCATATTATTAGTACTTTAGGTTAATAGATGGTGATGCTTGATGCCCTTTTTTGTTGCATTTTGACGTAATACTTTCAACAAAGAATGATGGTCTTTTTGTAAACGTAAAATTGGATTTTTTCTATTTACAATACAATAACAACATATACAGTAAAATCCAGTAAAAAGAGTTTGGAGAAAGTAGATTGTATGCAAATCTCGAAAAAATAGAGAAGTTTTTGCGAAAGGCTCAACTTGAAACAGAGTGACTATAATATTAAGAATAACCTTATTTTTAAATAAATGATTCACGATTGCTTATGGATGAGACAATACAGAAAGAGTGGAGTCATTTTCAAGGGGCATAGAGAAGAGTCATCCTCATCCATGTCTATTGGAACCTTAGCCAATTGTGGTCAACAGATAATAATGTGGGCCAAATGTCTTTTTTTTCACTACATAATTTTGAATGTGAATGTGCTCTCTTGTGTTGCATCAATTATATACGACAACACAAGTTTTGTTTGTAACAATTAAAGTGAAAATGTATAGGTCCAGTCAAGTCAATTGTCTGCTTTTGTAGTACCATGTATAAGTTGGAGATCAATATTGCATTTTAGTGGAATGTAAAGTGGCAAAAAAGTTGAAAGTGTCTATACAGGGAAACTATGTACATTTCAATATATTTCCCCTTTCCTCATCTTGAACCTCTTAGTTCTTTTGTATATATTTATCATATATTATTATAAGTGGGAAGCTCTAAAGTGTAAAGATTACCAATTTACCCCTATACAAAATAAATCATATAGCATCTCAATAATTGTTGATTAGATATTAAACTTTAATTATCTCTAAACTTGCTGAATATAAAAAAAAAAACTGAAAAAATATGAAAAGTCAGTCACATTACATTATTTATCATAGTCAATCATTAACATTATTTTAAGACCTTTCCGAACTAAATCATTGTTTTAAGAAGTCCAAAAAAATTAATTTAGATACATTATCCAATTAAATGTGAAATTTTAAGACATTAAAAAAAATGGAAGATAAAAAGATGTATATCTGTTTTTAAAACCTCTTAATTAGTTTATTAAAACTCTTGTCTCTTCATTTGCCTATATTGAATAAAGATGATTTTTTCAAATTTATAAATACAAATATTGAATAATATGAAACAAGCCTAGGATGAAAGGTTTTTTAGACAATTGATAATCGCAAAATCCATACTTGTATTTGATCTATTCATATTATTTTAATTTTAGATTTCATGATTTATATGTATATCACATCTAATTATATTTATGTTTGTCATATTTTCTTTCTCAGCTTTGGGGGCATCAAGATTACCACATCAATTGTGCATTTGTGATATGAGATTTAAAGTTTCAAAGAGAGTGTAAGTAATTTTATTTTAGTTTCTTCAATATTTTATAGACTTGTTCATTTTTTTAGGTTAGAATATTGATTATTTCAGATTTGCAAATTCTTGATGATTATGAAGTATCTTGGAGTGGTTATGCTATATTAATCTTGATCTTGCTTTGATTTTTGTTAGCTTTACTCAGGTTAAGGATTTCAATTACGGATCTTTCATGCTTCAAGCCAATGACAACTCCTTTAAAGCAAAGTTTTAGGACATATACTTTTATGAACCAATCGCACCAGTAGTTATAGGACTGACAAGGGCTATTGGGCCTAGAACAAGCAATAGGACCAGGTTAATTTGGGATACGGGTCGAGTAGTGGATGTGAGAATGATTCCATCAAAAGGTGCAACGATCACTGATTTAGGGATTATACATATTGAAGAAAATATTTTTCGTCTCCTCTTCTTCTAGAATCTAAAGTTTCTCATCTCCTATTCTTCTTTTCTCTTTAATTATTTGTTATTTCAATATTTCCATTATAATTTGGTAGTTTGATTATTGCAATCAGAATCTTAAGGTTGTAATCGTATTCCACTGTTCTTATCAATATAGTGAGAATTTCGATTTGTTAGATATACAATAGATTTTACATAATTTGAGTTTGAATAAAAATTGTCTCAGCTTCTCCTTATATATTATGATTCAATTTGAGTTTCTTCAATACTATGTGAATTTGTTACAATATAATCTTGTACATTTATGATCTTGAAGTAGGTGTTTATTTTTTACCTTTAGTATCCCCTCCCCTAATAATGTTTTTATATGAAACACAATCAATAAGAGACCCTAATAATGTTTTTATATGAAACACAATCAATAAGAGATTTGCTTCTCTCCTGGACGGATGGCGACTTATGTAGTGGTCGGCCTTCCTACCAGAATGCCTTCTTGGTCGAAGAGCCCCTTTTTTACTAGTAAGGACGCAGGAAGCAAAAAAACGCATAGGTAATGTCAGGTCTAGTGATAGTAAGATATCTAAGTTTTCCCACAAGCCTCTGATGCCTGCATCATCCAAGGGTTCTTTTCTCTTTTCTTCAAGCTTATTTCTTCTATTGGGCTAATTGCGGCCTTGCAACCTAACATCCCTGTTTTCTTCAAATCAAGGACATAATTTGAGATACAAATCTAGAGACAGTTGAACAAAGTCAATATGATTATTATATAGTTTCCTTCATATAATAAAGTTTGATCTATATATAGATTTTTGTATTCATTTCATATTTTGCTAATTGAATTTATATTTTCTTTTTTCAATTTTTGGTGTGTATCTCACTACAAGTTTTAACAATATTTATATGGTTTAAGTTTAAACTAATTGACAGAGATTATATTTAATTACCTATTGAATTATCATTATTAATATTCATAAGTCATAACCTTCATGCTTTTCTATTTGATTTATACTTTTGTTTGACTTGATGGAGAAGGATATTAACTTAACCGGACAGAAAACTGTAGTGGGTTGCAAGTGCAGAAGAAATTTAAATGGGGCGTGCTGATGGCACTATACTGTTATGGAGATAGCTCCCAGTGGCAAACCCACTGCCTCCATTGCCATTCTTATATGGAGTTAACTACCAATTTAGCAGTTTGAGCTGTTTGCATGTTATAACCACCTAATTTAAATAGGTGTAAACTGTAAAGGTTTCAATAAAATGATGTGCCCTTTTGGTTCTGAGAAAAGACATATATTGGCTAATCTTGGAACAAATTAAGTGGACTGTATCAGCACCTTTTGTCAAACTGCATTATTTATTTCTTTTGTCGTCTTTCTTCCCTTTTTCTTATTTGAACATTTTCTCATCATACCTTTCTCTAAAATGCTTATCCGAACCTTTTTAAAGACTCAACTTAAGCTTATCATACATAATTGGGTTTCCTCTTCTTCGTGTTCTATTGATTAGAAGCATCCAGCAATGCCTCGCCAGTTTAGAATTCGAACAAAAAATGGCCATAGTTACTCAATTCACTGTGAACTTTATAAACATAACTTATTCTTGGTACATTATCAGGCTGCAGCAACTGCCGCTGCTATGGCAAAGAAGTATGGAGCTGATATAACAGTTGTTGGTATGTCACCGATGTTGTGTACTATCGGTTCTTTCAAAAGCTAAACTACAGAGTTGACTTTCTTGGTACAGAAACTTTTAGTGGTAGATTTCAAGGAATCTATGTTTTTCTGATCTTTGCAGTTATTGATGAAAAGGGGAAAGAAGCATACCCAGAGCACGAGACACAACTAGCAAGCATCCGATGGCATTTAGCTGAAGGTGTATTTACTGTTTTTCCCTGCATTTAATAAGTATGAATCAGTTGATGGATTGTGATTTGCAACCTGGATGGGTGCACTAGACTTGCAAAACAACTGGCTTTTTGCATGCAAGACTTTTTGAATTTTGATTGGATAATAGAGAATGTGACAAAAACTCGGTAAATTATGTATTG